TATATATATATGGTAGACCCTCCCTCAATGGAATTCGGTGTGCACCTCAGTTCCTAGGAATCTACAGCCAGACACCAGAACATGTGATTTGATTATAGTGGTGAAGACTTCGTGCAACCCCCACCCACACACACACTTTTTTTGAGGTTCCGAATACAAAGACTTGGTGCACTACGTTTTGTTTCTCCTAGACCACTTGCCATCCAAGGCTATAGAACCCGATCTGTTCTGCTATTTACCCATAGCTGGAGGGAGAAGTGAATTAATACATTTCCCAAGGGTATTAGCACGTATATATATATATATATATATATATATATATATATATATATTATAATAAAAAGAAAGAACAGTAAGATATATAATCCGGTGTTCTTATTGATATTTTTTTATTTTTGCAAAACAATGCCTAATGTAAATTTACAGAGCATAAATATTATAAAATAACTGATTTAAAATATGGTTTCTTGGCTACACAGGAATTACCATGTTTCAAAAACGAAGCTAAAAACTTTAAATTTAATTATATAATTAAATTAAAAGCATTAGTTCTGTTTCATCTTCAAACGAATTTTGGAATAACTTATTTTAAAATTTACTGAGGTTTTTTTCTAAGGATACAGCTAAATGCAATCATTCAGTCAGGGGCGGTAACGTGTTCATTTTTATTAACTATTGTTGTATCAATTATATATACAAATGAGAGAAAGAACAGATTGAGCAAAAATCCCCTGTTTGTAGCATTTACTTTTTAAAAAGTGTTCAATACAAAGTAGACCAATATATAATTATTATATTTTTATTATAAGACATTATAGTTAAAACAAATCGCTACATAAAACCTTTCATGTTTCAGTACTTTGATTGTACTTCTTCAGGCGATGGTAAGTAACTGGTGACTAAAGGATTTTTATAAGGAACTTAAAAACAAAGTGTTACCTCTTTTCCAAAAGCTAAATGTCTGAATTAAAAATAGATTTCTGGATATGTCTTGATTAACCAATGAAATATCAGATCTATGCTAAATAGAAAAGTAAGCGCAGTGGGTGGAGGTGAATGAGTTCTTTTTTCATATTCCCCTTTTAAATGTAACCTGAAGAAGGACAATCATAGTGCTGAAACGTCAAAGCTTTTGTGTAGTCATTTTCAAATGTTTTCATTGCAGTCTTTTATAATATATATATATATATGTCCCAAATAGCAATGGTCCCTTAACTTCCAGCTTACATAAGAAGATTAATAGGGCCTTCAAATACTTAGACCTTAAAATTGAAATATCTTCCAACCTGAAAATAGTCAACTTTTTAGATATTACACTCAATCTATCGAATAATACCTTTAAACCCTTCCATAAAGTTGATCAAACACCCTATACATCAACGTCCACTCTAACCACCCTAAACATGTGATAGATCACATCCCCAAAACTGTGAATACGAGAATAAATAAGCTATCTTCTAGCCAGAAAATATTTAATGATAATAAATTTATATACAATCAGGCCTTAAAAATAGTGGTTTTAGACAAAATTAAGCTTTAATGGTGAACTTGAAAAATCAGAATAAGGGCAAAACTAAGAACAGGAAAAGGAAGGTAATATGGTTCAACCCACCATATTGCAGACTCTCTAACATTGATATAGGAAGTTTCTTTCTGAAATTAATTGATAAACATTTCCACAGTAAGCATCCACTACGTAAAATTTTCAATAGGAAAACTCTAAAAAATTAGTTACTCATGCGTTAGAAATATAGAGAAAATCATATCTTCCCATAATTGCAGAATACTTAGAAACTACCACGGTAATGGAACTCAATCTAGTAACCCTACCTGCAATTGTAGGAATAAAGACCATTGTCCAATCGGGGGTAAATGCAAATCTGAAAATGTAGTATACGAGGCAACTATCTTTCCCGAGGGAAATATAAACGAGAAAAAAAGATACATAGGTATATCCGCCGGTGATTGGAAGCAGCGTCTATACAACCATAGACGCTCATTTAGATATAGATGCCTCAGTAGACAGACTTCCTTATCCAAACACTACTGGGAACTGGTGGATACGGGATTAAACCCAATTTTGAAATGGAGATTCCTATCTAGAGCCAGAACACCTAATAACTTCCGCGGTCGGTGTGATCTATGCATGGCGGAAAAAATCTTCATTATCAAAGATAAAAATAGAGATGAGCTGCTGAATCTTCGGAATGAGGTATTGTCTAAATGTAGACATAAGAAAGGTTTCAAAACTTGAACACCGTTGTGTAACATGTTGTCACTTATGTCGGCTCCATCTCGGTCCTATAACATCGGGCATGACATTTTAATTGTATGACTATTATGTTTATCTCTAAATGTACCTTTGTGCACGTTTATGTGATGCGCTATGTATTTATATATATATGTTTGTGTATGTGTGTGCATGTATGTATATGTATGTATATGTATGTGTGTGTATGTGCATGTATGTGTATGTAGATATGTATATATATGTATATATATATATATAATTTTTTTTTTTTTTTTTTTTTTTTTTTTTTTACACGCGCAAATATTTGAATCGTCACTTATTTAGATTTTAACTTTTTTATATATATGTACATGTGTGTATATCTCTGTGTGTATTTATATGTATGTATGTGTATGTGTATGTGTGTGTATATGTGTGTATATTTGTATGTATATGTATGTATGTGTATATATGTGTGTATGTATGTAAGTGTATATATGTACGTATGGAGATGTTTATGTTATGTATGTATATGTATAGGTGTGTATGTGTACTTATGTGTATACATGTTTATGTGTGTGTGTATGTGTATATATACATGTGTAAGGGTGTGTATGTATTTGCATGTGTATATATATACATATATAAGGGTGTGTTGTATTTGCATGTGTATATATATGCATATGTAAGGGTGTGTATGTATTTGCATGTGTATATGTATGTGTATATGTGTGTATGTGTGTGTATATGTATGTATGTGTGTATATATGTATGTATGTGTGTGTATGTGTATGTGCGTGGATGTATGGGTATATGTGTGTATATATATATATATGTGTGTATGTATATGTATATATAGGTATATATATATATATATATATATATGTGTGTATGTATGTATATGTATATGTATGTGTATGTATAAGTATGTATGTATGTATGAATGTATACATGGGGCATATGTATGCGTGTATATGTATGTGAAAAGTGTGTGTATATGAATATAGATGAATATGTGTATGTGTGGATATGTGAATATATTTTTAGGTTTTTGTATATATA